TTTTATGTTTTTAAATTTCATCATGGAAAATAGCACAGCTGAACGGTAGCATTCTTCTGTAAATGCTTTTACATCCAATATACACATACATAGCATATGTATGCTATTATGGAGATATTTTATTTTTCAACAGAAACAGAATTACTCTCAGCTTGCAGTAAACATATTGCATTGATTAAATTACAAGAAAATCCTTTACGTATCCTGTATCGTTGCAGTTGAAATCTCTGTCAATGACTTCGTTTGTAGTTATTCGGAATTCTTCCATGTTTGTGACAATCTGCTGATGGCATGCCTGAACTGTTGGGAGAATTACACATAACACACATTGTTTATTCTTCACTTAGTTCTTGTTTCAATTTTTATTGTTTGTGAAATTTTCCGTAAAGGAACTTTAAGTGGATTATTTGGATTCTACTATGTACTTACAAGAATGTTTTAAAATTACTAGGCACAAACTTTATTTTGGATTGGATTTAATGACATATTCTGATTTATAATCAACTTTTCTGAGTTGTTAAAGAGAGACCATTAAAATCAGTTAATATATTTAGAAACATTTAATGAAAATTATTTATCTAGGTTTGTATTCCATTCAAAAAATCTATTACGTAACTTAGTTAGTGATATTTATGGCTGAAAAGAGCAGCTCAAACTGAATGAGATAATACCATTCCCTGCAGATAAGCTAAAGAATCCATGCCGAATAGATCAAAAGTCAGAACTAGGGAGCTACTTATGCTGAACAGAAGTGGTATCCGACTTAACACAAGGTTTCTCACTAAGCATTGCGGATTCAAAAAGCATTTATCAAACCCAGATATTACTTGAGGCGATAACTGTAGACTTTATTACGAAAAAAATTAAACAGCAGAACATATTCTGTGTCACTGTGATAGTCTCGCCAGATTCAGATATCGAGTGGCGTACTAGAACTACAGCACGCTGAGTGTGGGTCAAATTAAGAAATATTTAAAAAAAGTGTAGTTGCTCAGTTTCAAAAATAGTGCTTCAAACTATCCTTAAATTGTTTGCAGGTGAGTTGCTTACTTCAAAATCAACATAGAGGTTTAATTCCACCTGCTATGAAGAGCTATAGGTTAATACGTATTATTATTATTGTTGTCGGATCTATTGTGCTTTCTTCTGGGTTTAGAGTAGATCTCTAAGCCCTGTTGCGTCAATAAAAAGGAGTATAGAACCTACTTTACGGTAGGATAATACGTATCTCACAGGCGAATAAATTAGTAAACTTAGTTTTAGAATGACTACAAAATAAGTCAAAATAATTTTAAAATTAGCATACTTCAAATATTTATCACTAGAATCATATCATTGTTTTACAATCATGGTTAAAAGCATTATTTCTGATTTTATTAAAATTTGTGCATATTTATATCCGCCCTAGCAATACGGTCTATGTGTACCATGTACTTTCTAAGGCGTTTTTCGAGTTAATATAGCTGCTAGTTTAAAGTATGACAATGATTTCTTCATATCGCAGTATGTAGAGATATTAAGACTTACTTAACCGACTTAACTAATTTAAAATTTGTTCGATAGTTTCAAAATTTAATATGCATTTACGTTTATCATACGTAATTAGGTTAGGTTATACTGATGATCCTAGGGGGATCCACTTAGGCCCATAGGCACATTGTGCTACCGTATTATTGATAATAATCACTAACTGCAGCTTAAATGAGATTAATTTATTAGTTTATATATAAAATTTAATTAATTTTATTTAATTAATTTTATTTAATTAATTCATTTAAATGATATTAACCAAAATTACAATATGTACAATAAAAACTAAAGATAGTTATTCTCTTGCAATCTATAATTTCTTATATTTAACTTATATTATATTACATTATTTATTGTATTTAAGCTTAAAACGAATGATTTATTTAAATGTAAGCCATTTGTGATTTATATATGTGCATCCACAGAAGTGCAATTTAAACTGTTGCATCCGAAGCCACCTGAGTCCGTGTGCAGTCTGCCATGCGAACGTGGTCAAGCGAAAAAATATGTTGAGGGCGAAAGCTGTTGTTGGCACTGTTTCAACTGCTCCATGTACCAAGTAAGTGAACAGAATGAATCCAAAAGAAACCACTGGAATTGAATAACCATGAAATTCAATTTATTTGTGCAAATTTTTTTCACATCGGAAATTTATTTGAAAATTAGAATCATGAAAAGATTTTGCTGAGAACACAACAAAAGCTATATTATTGCATTTCTATGAGAATTCTCAGATAAATTGAATTTAAAATATTATTGGCTAGTGTTTTAATTTAAGAACTTCAGTACATAGAGAAACATTTAAAGAATGAAATACACATATAAATAAGATATTGTTTAATAAAATAAAATTTGTTAACAAAATTTTTTAAGTGTAAAAATTTAATATAAAAGAAACTTTCAAACGATATATAATAACACTAAGAATCTATGAGATACTTTACAAGTATCAGCTTATGCATTATCATTATCATTATCGAACATATCAACAATATTATCGGAATTATTGTAAAAATACAAATTTTTCATCATGCCCGTCTATTGAAGTGGACAACAAATCATTTTCCTCTTACTATAGCGAACTTATCCTTCTTATCCTTTACATAAAAACGCCATTATCGATACAATGTTAAGTAAATAAAGAAATCATTAGTCAATAGTATAAAATACGTAGTAAATAGATACGTTGTTACCTTGGAACAATAAAATACAGCAAAAGATCTGCTGACATTGACATTTTATTTGTGTTTTGTTAAACTGTTTTCCCAACTTGTTTATTTTTCATAGATACGACATCCAATGGATGAGACACAATGTCTTACATGTAAACTAGGCACCCTGCCCGATATCAGCAAACAATTTTGCCAGACAATACCGGAAGTTTACTTACGCCCAGAATCAGCCTGGGCGATTGGAGCTATGGCATTTAGTGCAACTGGCATATTGGTGACGCTTTTTGTTGTGGGTGTATTTGTTAGGTGAGTGGAAAATATATATATAACATAAGCATAAGCCATAAGAAAGGATATGACAATCTTAAACAAATCTTGAATAAATTGCTTAAGTATTAAATGTGTAAGTTATTTATAGATTTCAGTTTTACTCAAGCTTAAATACTTATTTTAATACCTTTTTATGTTATTTCAAAAATAACCCAAAATAACTGAAAACAAATTAAAAAGTTAACCAAAAACCATTAAAAATTTCATTTTGAAGTCAAGCAGCTGCCAACAAAAATTTTAAATCTTCATTAGCAAATTTTTACGAGTTTTTGGTTACGGAATTGGTTGGTTGGTCGAATATTGTTTCTTGCAGTTTAACTTCAAACTGCTACAGCGGCATTTTATGGCCTCATAATAAATTTGCCGGCAACAGAAATCATAAAAAAAGCCTCTCGTGTTAATTCCGCATTTTTACAGCATAAAAGCCTGAATAATGGCGAACTTGTATACTTTTAGGCACAATGACACTCCAATTGTTCGCGCTTCTGGTCGGGAACTGAGCTATATTCTTTTAGCGGGCATTTTAATGTGTTATGCAGTTACTTTTGCTTTGGTGCTGAAGCCAACGAACATTGTGTGCGCTATACAACGGTAAGTAAGAGAAAAGTATTCATTTTTAGACTAAGTAACCTCAAATGTATGCCTAAGCTCATAGGGACCTTTGGTGGTTTATAATAGAATAGAGCTTTTTAACTTCACACCTCGATATAACTACTTCATACAACTTCTTCATCTATGCAACCATCACCACAAGATGAAACTATTTAAGATTGCAGAATGTCATCTCTGACGAAAGCGGAATAGCACTTCTATTCATATTGCTTGTAACTGTCTAGATTTTACCGGATACGGTGGTGGGAGCTTCCAGTGCCGTCTGATATTAGAGAAATACTCTGGCCTTAACTTAATTATATATATATATATATATATGTATATACTGAATCTTTTAACTCCTAAGAGGAGCATAGGGCCGCATATTTATTACGGTTTCGTTAATCAGTTGGTTTAAGATTGATTGGTTCTGGTGTTGGTGCTGCCAACTGTTGCCTCCAGATCGACAGTAAATATTGTGACAGTACTTCTTTTGAAGGTCTACGAGCGCCGTTGTTGACCAGTTACGGTTGCTCCGTCGTCATCTCTTTTACAGACTCCTGTCTAAGCATGCAACTCTATCCGCAACCTACCACCTCAAAATATCCAGTGGGTAGCTTGCAGGTAGGGGTTTTTAAGGAAGTGACCTTCTTCCAACTGTTTGGTCCGCGGGAGGTGGCAGAATGTTTTTTGTTCGACTTTGCTCAGCTGTAGGATGAAAGATCTATCTCAATCGGTTTGCGTCACTGGAAACTTATAGTAACTTCGTAGTAATGACAAAGAGAAAAGCATTTAGTTTATTTTTATAGAATTTTTGAAGATGTCAAAGCAATTAATAAATAAAATGAAAATGTAATTAAAATGAATAAGTAATTTGTTAAAAAGCAATTTATGAACTCTATGCCCTTTTTCCAAAGAGAAGCCAAACATTATCTCTTGTAGTTACAATGTACAACGGACTAAACACATAGATATAAATATGTGTAATAATATATAGAGATAATTGTGCCGATTTCTAATGCAATTTTTATTTGAATGACGTCATGATTTTGTGATTTTCAATAATTAAAAAATTTGAATAAAAAATTAAAATATAAAATATGGACTCAATTCAATTTTATTTATGCATCACTCCTTTCGATATCAACAGTTTCAAGCTGTTATAAAAACATTAATATTATAAATATGCGAAATTTTATGTTATGTTTATGCAAATTAAACATTATTGAATTAATTTATAATTAATTTTTTTGATTTACTTATTCACAGCTTCAG